CAGAGCCCCTAAGTCACACAGGCCCTGCAATCACACAGTCCCCTCTTCACATTAGAGGCCTACCTTTTGACTCCCGCAGTACAACAGAAAGCTTCTTCTGAGTGCTAGGGTGGCCCTGCATGTCACTTGCCCTTGATCTGAGTCATGCATTGCCATAGTGTGGGTTAGCCTGTCACCAAAAAATTACGCCATGTGTCCTGACCCTGTAGCACCGTTGGTTGTTATGATGCTGGTGGCCAGCGTGCCAACATGATGCTAATTCAGGGCAAACTGGGTCCTGTGCTTGCTGAACCCTGGGGGGGGGGGGGGACCAGACGGCACCGTGGTGGAGTAACACTGCCCCATGTTTATGAAGCTGATAAAACTGTAATAAAAACACTGATGTTCCATGGTCCAGTCAGGATTCTATTCAATTCAATCCAAGATTCTGATCCAAGCCGATAAAACAGCACCATACACGCTGCAAATGCTGAATTATCAATATAGGAACCTCAATGTACATACTTTATACATCACCCAAAACTGCAGGTGAAATCATTTCCATGATAATCTAGAAGGTCTCATGCACACAAATGATGAGAGGCTGAACATATGCAGGGTGTAAAAATCCGGGTGTTCTCCCATGCCCAGGGAGCTGCATCTGCATTTTACACCGAGCAGCCCCAACATTATGGTCACTGACAGGTAAAGTGAATAACATTGATTATTCCGTTACAATGACATCTGAAAGTGGGTGGGATATATTGGGCAGCAAGTGAACATGTTGTCCCTGAAGTTGATGTGTTGAATGCAGAAAAAATGGACAAGCGTAAGGATTTGAGCAGCTTTGACAATGTCCAAATTGTAAGGACTGGACGACGAGATCAGAGCAACTCCAATAGGGCTGCTCTTGTGGGATGTTCCCGGTCTGCAGTGGTCAGGACCGACCACAAATGGTCCAAAGAAATAAAAAAACAGTAACAGGGTGATGGGCGCCAAGGCTCATTGATGTACATGGGGAGGGAAGGCTGGTCCATGTAGTCCAATCCAAAGCTGGTTCTGATAGAAAGGTGTCAGAACACACAGCGCAGCACAGTTGTATGGGGCTGTGCAGCTGCAGACCGGCCAGAGTGCCCATGCTGGCCTGTGTCCACAGCCAAAAACACTTACAATGGGCACAGGAGCATCAGAACGGGACCATGGAGCAATGGAAGAAGGTGGCCTGGTCTGATGAATTCAAGAATGGTTTAAGGAACACAATGAGACTGAGGTGTTGACTTGGCCTCCAAATTCTCCAGATCTCAATCCAATCAAGCATTCGTGGGATGTGCTGGAAAAATAAGTCAAAGCCATGGAGGTCCAACATCACAATTTCCATTCAGATGCCTGGGATTTCATGTTTTCCAGGGAGATTGCACAAAAAAAGAGAAAAATTGCATCTATTGGCTATGGTGTGCTAAGTTCTACATGAAAAAATATATTTCCTTCTTCCAACGTACTGATGTGAACAGACCCTTACAAATGTGTTACAATTAGATGCCCTCCAGTTGTAGAGGGATACATGTAGCTACCTTTTAGGGGGCTATTCGGATGTCTACTGCACACGTGTACATGCAATATGTTGAACTGCAATGCGTTACAGCACAGAGATGGTTCACACCTGTATTCTGTGATGTGCTAATCACACGAGGATTGTGCTGCGCTGACTTGGTGCATTGCTACAACTTACTGCACTGCTTACCTGTTCTTTTTCTTAGGTCTTTTCACATGGTCAGCAGTGGTGTCACTAGGGTTGGTGTCACCTGGAGCGGTAAAACATGGTGTCTGATGCATGGAATGTACCATGTTAGTATGTGGAGGAAGCGGGGTCATGGATGGAATGCACTATGTCAGTATGTAAGGGGCTATGAATGGATTGTACCATGTCTCTATATAGGGGGGGTGATGGATGGAATGTACCATGTCAGTATGTGGGAGGATGGAATATTGAATATTCCGTGTCAGTATGTGGGGGGGGGGGGGGGTGGATAGAATATACCATGTCAGTATGTGGGGGATGGATAGAATATACCATGTCAGTATGTGGGGGGGAGATATTTAATGGAATGTACCATGTCAGTATGTAGGGGGGGCTATGAATGGATTGTACCATGTCCCTATATAGGGGGGTGATGGATGAAATGTACCATGTTTGTATGTAGGTGGGGTTATGGATGGAATGTACCATATCAGTATGTGGGGGGGGGGGCTATGAATGGATTGTACCATGTCACTATATAGGGGGGTGATGGATGGAATGTACCATGTCAGTATGTGGGGGGGGGGGCTATGAATAGATTGTACCATGTCACTATATCGGGGGATGAAGGATGGAATGTACCATGTTAGTATGTAGAGGGGTTGCTGAATGGAATGTACCATGTCACTATAATAGAGGGTGATGGATGGAATGTACCATGTTAGTATGTGGGGGAAGGGGGGTGATGGATGAAATGCAGTATGTAAGGGGCTATGAATGGATTGTACCATGTCTCTATATAGGGGGGGTGTTGGATGGAATGTACCATGTCAGTATGTGGGGGGATGGATAGAATATTCCGTGTCAGTATGTGGGGGGGGGGGGGGGGGTAGAATATACCATGTCAGTAAGTGGGGGGAATGGATAGAATATACCATGTCAGTATGTGGGGGGGGGGATGTCTAATGGAATGTCCGATGTCTCAGTGACATCAGAGGAGGGTGGGGCAAGGGATGGATGTCTCCCCCTGGTGGTAGAGGACAAAGAACACAACACACACTGAACTGTCTCTTTCAGGTCTTCTCTCTGATATCCAGTACACAAGCAGCAGAAATCTTCATCCCATCCTTTCCACACACACACATTCTGACCCCAGGTATAGCATCATGGGCACCACCATCTTTCCAGCTCCCCCTATAAATTGGGGTTGGACTCTGCAAACATGATGGCTCATCCCAGCCAGGGATCTTGGCCTTCCCTGGGCCGGAGCAGATACTATAGAGGTGTCACCCCTATATTGGGTGTCACCCAGGTGCAGTCCGCACCCCCATAGTGACGCCACTAATGGTCAGCCAAGATCCATGTCCCTTCCCTCCCTGACCGTCCACCTACAAGCAGGCATGGTAACCAATCAGCTTCCAGGTTTTATTGTCAAGGCTTAATTTAACAAGCTGCAGCTAGAAGCTGATTGGTTAATATACACAGCTGCACCAGATTCTGAGTGCTCCAGCGTTAGTAAATCTCCCCTACAGCCACAGCTGTGATAGCATTTCAATTTTTAACGGGTTTTAGCAGACTCTCCCATGTAAGGCTCCTTTGCAGTGCTTTTTGCAGTTCGTTTTCTACATGCGTTTTTGCCGCCATTTGAGTTTTGTTCAGCTCTTTTCTTTTTAAAAACGGGATATTTTTTTTGCTGGACAGAATATAAATGGAAAAACGTTGCAAAATTGCAGAAAAAAAACACACTACCATGCATTTCAGCAGATTCTCCATTGAACTCTATTGTAACAAAAAACACTGCTTTTTGCTTTTAGAAAAGTCTCTGCCCCTTTCCAAAAACGCAACAGCTCAAAAAAGCATAGATGTGAACGTGTTCCATAGGAAACCATGTTAAATGGACTGTAGTGCGTTTCTGCAAAAACCACTAAAAAATGCATTGGTGTGATCGGAGCCTAAGTGAATGCGGCCGCACCACAACCGTGAGCCAAACACAATGTAAATTGTCAATTGACAATAGAATACAAAAGAAAGTAAAAAAAAAAAAATAAAAACAGGCATCAGCCTTTTGCTGCCCTTTGAAAAGCAATTGACTGCACTTTAAAATATAAAGGGAGATAGTCCCATTACAATACAATTCAATGCAAGAGGTTTAGGAGCACCAAGAGCTCATAATCTAAGTCAGTGGTCTCCAAACTGCGGCCCAGGGGCCAGATGTGGCCCTTTGCTTGCTTTTATCCAGCCCTTGGGGCTCTATTGCATCCACTGATAGGTGGTGGATTCCCTATTGGATCACTTCACAATATTTCACCGTGATTGCTGTACTTATATCCTTACGGACAAATTATAGCGCTTACTCCACTAATATTTTATGGACTTTACATATTCTCACTTTTATGCTGCACTTTACTGTTTCACATTTATTGAAGATTTTTTTATATTTGATTTGTATACGCTACACTTGACTGTTTTACTGAATTTTTTTTTTTGTCGCTATATGTCAGATTGACTTTGCACTTTATTGTCACTATAATATCAATCACATATTTTAGCGCTGCACTTTCTATATATGATACCAACAATGAGGCACACTTCCTCCCAATTATGGGGCACTATTCCTTTCAGTGACACAAAAGATGGGGCATTGTCTATTCCCACTGACACCAGAACCTTTTCTACTCCCAACAGCCACATTCCGGCCCCCTTAAAGTCTGAATCACAGTAAACTGGCCCTTTGTTTAGTAAGTTTGGAAGCCCCTGATCCAAGTGATTGATAATGACAGAGAAAGCCTGCACAATTTCCTCTAGAAATCAGATCCACTGTTCCTTTAAGAAGAGGCGTGGTCTTCTCACCTGTATGAGCAGGAGGAACACGCCCAAGGTAAATAATCCGGATTAAACCACTACAGGAAAAGGAGGGGGGAGGAGGGAGCATTGTCTCTGGATTGTACCAAATCAGGATAATCATTAGCCATCAGAAGAGCATTGCAGAGCTCAGGGGTGACATGTCCCTCCTGTCCTGAATATAACCTGCTCTGTCACCTCCAGGCACACCTGCCATGTGCTATTATTAACCCTTCAAGGGACAGAAGACCCAGGAAGCGGCTGCAGTGACTCCAGTAAGTTGTAGAATTGAGTTACAATGTAATTGTATGTAAACTTTGTTCATAGGGCGTACTGCGAGCGCACTATACATGGCGAACACGGACAAATCAGGGACCGGCCTTTCATCCTTCTTCCTGGCCATGGTGGATTGAACACGTCACAGGTTTATATGTAGATTTACAAAAGTGTGTTCTCACCAGGGGCGGACTGACAACCCATGGGGCCCCCGGGCAATAGGGGATCATGGGGCCCCTGTGTCCTTGCCCAAACTCGAAAAAGCCTATGGAAAAGGTACCAGGGGCATCCCATGGGGCCCCCTACTGACCCCGGGCCCTTGGGCAGTGCTCAAGTTTCCAAATGGTCAGTCCGCCCCTGGTTCTCCTTTAAATGAGATGAAATACTTTGTATCTGTGTGAAATATATCCAACAAAGTCACATGATGAAAGCCTTAGGGCCCCGTTCACGTATCACGGCGTGATTTTGCGTCATGATTTTTATGTGATTCCATGCGTTGTGCATATTTGTCACCTGCAAAGAGGCTCATGCTCCTTTTTGGGGTGACAAGTGTAGTGCGTTTTTAAAACCCACGTATTTGTCGCAATCCACATGCTACCACGGCAGAATGACATTGCGTTTGGTGTGCATTGAGTCCAGGATCACATATATGCGGTGCGGTATATCGCATGTGATTCACGCAGGAACCGCACCGCATTCCTGTGTCAATCACATGCGATTTGTGTGTGGTGTGATTGGAGCCGTACGTATGGCTCTAATCGCACCAGAAACATGCAGGACCCTTTTTTTTGGTCAGCACTAGAATCGGATCACATGGGTATTCACACTCATGCGATCCGATTCTGCACTTTGCACCGCGTTTTACGGACCGCTTTTGGGGTGTTAACTTAACATACACACCCGCAGCGGTTCACATGAATGGGGTGCAATTCTGATGCGGTGCGCAATTTGCACAGAAAATGCTACGAATTGCGCACCAAATCAGTGTGAACCAGGACTGAAAGAAAAATGACACCCAAAAGCGCATTGCATTTTCTGCCTTGATTTAGGATCTTGGGTAGAATCGCAGCAATTCTGCCTGCAATCCAAAATCGCAAAATGTGCAGCGGGCCTGAATGGGCCGCCCTATGCGTGTTTGTCGTGCAAAAGAAGCCCCGGGGCTAAAGTACAGTCCTGAACCAGTCTCAGTTTTTACATGTGTGATTCGCTGCGTGACGATTGTGGAAAAATCGCACCACATTTGGGGTGGATTCAGGATGAATTACACCCAAACGCTCGTTGTGCACTTTGCCGCAATTCCCAATTAGCTACATGTGAATGAGGACTCGCCACAAACTGAAATGCATTTATAGCGGTTTTAAAAATGCAAGATCCTCCCCTTTATTTTTATTAAGCGGTGCATTTTACATTTTTGTTTTCTTTCTTTCAATGTTTGTCTCCACTTTTGTTGGAAATATGGACTTACACTTGCAGTTGTGGGGGCAGTTATACCCTGTGGTTGTGCTGCCTTTTTACCACCCCTCATTTTCTCCCCGTTTAACTGGGAGGGCAGCATCTGGGGGGGGGGGGGGGTGAACACATGCCACATCCGTGATGCTGTGTTTTGTGGCCATGGCAGGAATTCTGTTCCCTGCTGCCTGTTCAAGTGAACGGGGCTGCGTTGTAGCTGCCCCGCAACTGTGCAGGACGCAAGTAGTTACAGCACGGTATTCACGGTGATATAACGCCTCCTCACTGCCTGTCGTGCTCTCTGAAGAGTGACCTGAACATGGATCACTCTTCAGAGGGCAAATCATGTGTGAATGATCCCTAATTAAAGGGGAACCGCAGGCTATGTTCACAGTGACTCGAACAGTAAAATGCAATGTTTTACCACCCGTGCAGCTGACAGAGTGAGCCTCAGCAGGGAGCTGTGCAATGCATGTTCCAGCACATCACACTGTTTTTACTTGACTCTTTTTTTCCCTAACTTTGATGTGTGGGAGTGACCCTCCATTCCAGTCTCTGCACAGCATTGCACTGTGCTGCTGTGTTTTGACATATAATACCTCTCCATGTGGTGCAATAAAATGCTACATGTGCACTTTACTGCAGCTCACTGCACCACACCTCTCAGCTGCATTGGGTTTCTATCAGCTGGGCGGGTTGGGGGGCGGGTAAACATGGGTGGCTGAGCTGGGGTTTTACCACCCCCAGATTGTTTTTACATACCCTAATTGGCAAAATACAGCCAAACAAAGCTGTACCTATGCCATTTTTAATTGCTGTAATGCCTGTCGAATTCACCTATTGAGGTCAATGGGGCCACAGCACAACTGCATGCAATGCGAGTGATTGCGGCACAGAAATTTGGAATTACAGGGTTAGATCGGAAAATGATGAGGCGCTATAACACCTACTCTCCACCTGCCAAATGCTGTCTGAAAAGGAATCCAAATGCTGATTGCTCTTTGGAGGGCACTGCAGTTCCCCATGAGTGTGAACAGGGCACACAGGATACAATTGTTTTCTATGTGACCCATTGGTAACCTGCTCCTATCCAGGAGAACCTCCAGTCATTTTACTATGTGTGAATGAGCCGTCGGCTCAGCGTTATGTTTTGTTTTTTCTCCCATTACCTTGTTTTCTGGGTTATCCTGTGGAGACGTTTACATGCCCAGCGACTCCAGAACCACTGTGTGTACGGAATGCCTTGGCCACTGACCATTGGCTCTGTCTAGTAACAGCTTCTTGGTGGGGTAGCCCAAAAGGGATCAGATCAGGGCCGGGACAAGGGGTGGGCAAGAGGGACAGCTGCTCTGGGCACTGTGGTATCAAGTAAGGGGGGGGGGCACCATAAGGAGGCTGAGGGGGAGGGGATTCTTGTTGGAAGGCAGAATTTGGGGGGAGACAGGGGTTAAGAATTGTTCTAGGAGGGGAAATTTGGGGAGTGGTGATTTGTGTTGGGAGGGGGGATAGAGGAAGAGGATTTGTGCTGGTGGGGGGGTTGTGCTAGTAAAGTTAATATGTAGAGGAGGGAGGGGATTTGTGCTTGGCGGGGATATTTTTTTTTGGTGCTGAGATTTGTGCTAGGAGGGGGGATTTGGGGGGTTGTGCTAGTAAAGTTGATGTAGTAGAGAAGGGAGGGGATTTGTGCTAGGAGGGGGGATTGGAGAAGGGGAATGTGTGCTGGGAGGGGGGAATTTGGAGTTGGGTGAAGAGGATTTGTGCATGGAGAAGGAATTTGAGGGGCAGAGGACTCGTGCTAGGAGGTAGAATTATTGTTTTTTGGGGGGGTTGTGATGGGGGCATATGGGGAGAGAGGATTTGACCTGGGGGGAATAGGGGGCAAAGATCTGTTCTGGGAGGGGGGAATTCAGCAGGAGGCATATCTGATCTGGGAAGAGGGGGAATTTATGTTTTTTTGGGAGGGGTAAGCATTTTTGTTTTTTTAGCGGGGGAAGGGATTTTTGCTGACAAATAATGCCCATACATCTCGAGGGGAGCACGATTTGGCATGTTCTAGATGACCTTGTCCTGGGATTGGATCCGACTACCATCCTAATACTCCTGAGCTCATCCCTACAAATGACATGCAGGTGCCCCTGAAGTCTCCTGGGATGCTTGATGTTAGTATCCCTGGGCAGGGCTGTGGATAAGGGGTACCACCAGTCCTCCTGTACGGGGCCCAGGCCAGCAGGGGGCCCAGGCAGCTGGGTGATAGGATAGAATATTTACATAGTTTCATGTTAACATTTGGAAGGAGGTCTGATTTTAAGTACATGTAAATCCAATCACTAAGAGGCACCTTACACCTAACAATCTGAGCATACAATCAGTTAATTTACTAAAACAGTGTAATCTGGGTACCTACCTAAAATATTCAATCTGTCAATCGAGTCTGTATCCAATGAGGAAACTGTACAACCAGATTGTTACATGTGTGAGGAGCACACGGCTTACTACAGGTGAAACTCGAAAAAAATAGAATATCGTGCAAAAGTTCATTTATTTCAGTAATGCAACTTAAAAGGTGAAACTAATATATGAGATAGACTCATTACATGCAAAGCAAGATAGTTCAAGCCGTGATTTGTCATTGTGATGATTATGGCTTACAGATCATGAAAACCCCAAATCCACAATCTCAGAAAATGAGAATATTACATGCAATCAATAAAACAAGGATTGTACATAGAACAATATCGGACCTCTGAAAAGTATAAGCATGCATATGTACTCAGTACTTGGTTTGGGCCCCTTTTGCAGCAATTACTGCCTCAATGAGGCGTGGCATGGGAGCTATCAGCCTGTGGCACTGCTGAGGTGTTATGGAAGACAAGGATGCTTCAATAGCGGCCTTCAGCTTTTCTGCATTGTTCAGTCTCATGTCTTTCATCTTTCTCTTGGCAATGCCCCATAGATTCTCTATGGGGTTCAGGTCAGGCGAGTTTGCTGGCCAATCAAGCACAGTAATCCCACGGTCATTGAACCAGGTTTTGGTGCTTTTGGCAGTGTGGGCAGGTGCCAAGTCCTACTGGAAAATGAAGTCAGCATCCCCATAAAGCTCGTCTGTGGAAGGAAGCATGAAGTGCTCCAAAATCTCCTGGTAGACGGCTGCGTTGACCCTGGACTTAATGAAGCACAGTGGACCAACACCAGCAGATGACATGGCTCCCCAAATCAACACAGACTGTGGAAACTTCACACTGGACTTCAAGCATCTTGCAGTGTGTGCCTCTCCATTCTTCCTCCATACTCGGGGTCCTTGGTTTCCAAATGAGATGCAAAAGTTGCTCTCATCAGAAAAGAGGACTTTGGACCACTGATCAACAGACCAGGTCTGTTTTTTTCTTTAGCCCAGGTAAGACACTTCTGACGTTGTTTGTTGTTCAGCAGCGGCTTGTCAAGTGGAATACAACATTTAAAGCCCATATCCAGGATCCGTCTGTGTGTGGTGGCTCTTGATGCACTAACTCCAGCCTCAGTCCACTCCTTGTGAAAGTCCCCAACACTTTTGAATGGCCTTTTCCTGACAATCCTCTCCAGGGTGTGGTCATCCCTGCTGCTTGTGCTCCTTTTTCTTCCACACTTTTCTCTTCCACATAACTTTCTAATAATGAGCTTTGATACAGCACTTTGGGAACATCCAACTTCTTTTGCAATTACCTTTTGAGGCTTTCCCTCCTTATGGAGGGTGTCAATGATGGTTTTCTGCACAACTGTCAGGTCAGCAGTCTTTCCCATGATTGTGATTCCTACTAAACCAGACTGAGAGACCATTTAAAGGCTCAGGAACCCTTTGCAGGTGTTATGGCTTAATTAGCTGATTAGAGTGGGACACTTTGAGCCGAGAATATTGCACCTTTTCACAATAATCTAATTTT